CTCACTGTTTGATCTGCAGTTGCTGAACCATCCTTGCATCCCTGGAATAAATTCCACTTGATAATGGTGTATGATATTTTAATGTTTTGTTGAATTTGGTTTGTTAAGTTTTTTTTGATGATTTTACATCAATATTCATCAGAGATATTGGCTTGTGATTTTCTTTTCTTGTGGTATCCTTGTCTGGTTTTGGTATCAGGGTAATGCTTGTCCCATAAAATAAATTTAGAAGCATTCCCTCCTCTTCTGTCTTCAGAAGAGATGGAGAAGGATTCATAGTAATTCTTTGAATGTTTGGTAGAATTCACCAGTGAACATAGTCCTGGACTTTTGTTTGTGTGGGAATTTTTCATTACTAATTCAATCCCTTTACTAGTAATCAGTTTGTTCATAGTTTTCTTTCTTCATGACTCAGTGTTGGCAGTTCCTATGATTCTAGAAATTTATCCTTTTCTTATAGGCTGTCCAATTTATTCACATATAATTGTTCAAAGAAAAAAAAACAGATGGCACCAACTGGCCTTTGTGTGGGTATTCCATCATGCCCCTAGGTTTGCATTAAGTTAGTTTCCTGCCCCTCAGGTCAGTGCTTTAAGATGAGCAAATAAGCCTTTTAAATAAACTGTGGGTGAGATTGACTGCTTCTGGGCCTGGCCCTGGGGTGAGTGAGTTCAGAGCCACAAGCCCTTTAAGGATTATTTTTAGAATGCTATAGCCTAATGGGTCTCTTATACATGAATCCAGCTGGTCTTTAAAGCTACATGTTTTGGAGGTTCATCTTAAAAGTTGAGATGCCCAGTGTGGAATTCAAACCTTTGCTCCTCAGAGAGGATCTGTGAGTTTTGAGTTCCCATCTCCTTGTGTGTTTTAGTACAATGGGTGGTGTTTTGGGCAAGATGGATCTCAGGTTTCTCCTACCTGCTGCACTGTGTTTTTATTTTCTCATTTGCCTGACATGTACTGATCACTCAGGTAGTTTTTAAGTTTTTCTTTTTCCAGAGGAAACTGTTCTACCTGTAGCTATAGTTTCAGTGTGTTTGTGGGAGGAAGTAGATCTTCCTATATCAGCATCTTGGACCCGAATCCCCCAATGTGTCTTTATTTAAAATTTGTGTCAGTTTTTTTCACATTGGTATAACTCATTTATGCATTATCTCAAATAAGGCTCTCAATAAAAACCTCAATAAGAGTTTATCAAGAATTAAACTGTCTACTTATAGAGAGTCTCACACAGAACATGGCTTATCATAGCTGCTTAATAAATAGCAACAAACACCAGCTTGTTAACTCTTCTTATTCCGAGTTCAGCTCTGTTTCCACTTTCCTACATAGTTCTCTCCATGTAAGATATTACAGGGTCTAAATTCCAACCTATGGTGGACAGACTCCAGGGTGGCTCCCATCATCTTTACCTCTTGGAATTAACACTAGTGTGTGATTGATCCCTTCCCCCTGAGCATGGCTGGAATGAGTGACTTGCTTTAAACCATTAGAATTTGGTAAAGGTAATGGAACACTCATGATTAAATGCATTTGATTATGTTACATATGATTGTGATATTGATCTTTCAAGGAGACTGTCCCCTTCTGACCTTGAGGAAGCAAGAGGCCATTTTGGGAAGACTCACATAGCAGGAAACAGAGGCCGTGAGTCTGATAGGCCTGCTAAGTAATGACTGTTATCAATAACTATGTGAACTTAAAAGGGGATTCTTCCCCAACTGAGCCTTAGATGAGACCACAGCCTGACTGACGCTTTCATTACAATCTTGTGAGATCCCAGGAAGAGGGATCCCAGCTGAACCAAGCCCTGACACTTGACACACAGAGACTATGAGATAATAAATGTATGCTGTTTTAAGCTGCCAAACCTGCTGTGCAGCAATAAGTAACTAATACAGAACTTTACTCATGCAGGTACTTAAAATAATATTTTGAGGGGAAAAAGGTTTTACAATGTTTTGGATTCTTTTAATTCTGGAGAAACAAGAGTTCACTGCTTTACCAATGGTGCTGTCGGAAACATTTCTCAAAGGCAAAGCAGGTAGGTTTTTCCTATCATTATGAGAATACACTGGTTTCATAGTTCCCCATTAAAATTTTAGAACTTTCAGGTGTCATGTTAGGAATGTTTATTTGTGGAGATTACACCTACAGCAGTTTTTCTGTTTTAGTTGTGGTAAAAACATAACAAAATTCTAACCATCTTTAAGTGAATAGTTCCGTAGTGTTAAGTATATTCATATTGTCGTGAAACAGATCGTCAGAACTTTTTCATCTTGTAAAAATGAAAGTCTATGTCCATATAACTACTCTTTTTCTTTCATAGAGTCCCAATGAATCACTATTTTACTTTCTGTTTCTTTGAATTTGACTATATTAGATACCTCATATAAGTGGAATAATACTTTGTCTTTTTTGTGTGTCTTATTTTTCTTAGCATAGTGTCCTCAAAGTTTATTCATGTCATAGCATGTGAGTGTTTTCTTCTTTTTAGGTTCTAATGGAGTTTCTAATATTTTTATTATGAAATATTTCAAGTATAATAAGAAGCATAAAAAATCTTAAAGATTTTTTGTAGAAAATATACTAATTACAAGTGACCTGAAGTTCTTTTTGGCTCACAGTTTATGAACTGGAATAACAGGACACTATGAGTAATCTCATATTGATATACAAAAGAGATAATTTGTTTTTCTCTTTTGTTGTTTGGTAGTTCTATAACAGTGTTTGATAGAGATGATAAAAATATAAAATATCTAAAATATACATTGTTATCTATATTTTATTAAAATTTAACTCATACTGTTTCCACATAGTAACTGCTAGACTAATAATAAGATAGATACTTCTTTATAATTACAAAAATACAGTTAAACAGAATAGTGAAGAAGATATTATCTTACAGGAGGATAATATTTTTGCAGTAAGCATATGAGAAGTCATGAAGTATTCATTCCTGTTGTTAATATATACAAATACAAAATAATTGTGAGAAATTAAACCATTTTGAAATATCACTTCTTATACTTTAAGAAACATATTAAGTATAGAGTCAAAGTGATTTGGTAAATCAGTGTCTTGTCATTTAACATTTCCAGTTATAAATTTTATTGCGCTTATGGCTACAATAATTACACTGAGCAAGTATAGAAGAGAATTTAACCATGAGCTCCTTTCTCTTTTTCTACTTTCTTCTCCTTCCAACTCATCCCATTCTTCTGTTACCATACTTCTTTGAAAAGGGAGTCACAGAAAAAAAATTTTCCTAGAAGAACCAAATTGCTTCCAGGATTACTATAGGAAATACAGAGTTAATAAAAAAAAAATGTTAAAAGATGATCTTTAGGTATAAGACAAAAGAAATCAAATGTGAAATCCTGTAACTTAATAAGATTATTTCATTTAGGTTATTAATCAATTTATTTTTACTTCGACTTTCTATTTTAGTGTCTATCCTAAAAAAACAGTTATGCAGATTTAATACATAGACCCTCACTAAGCTGAAGGAATAGTCAACTGTTGCCTTATGTTGTTATAGAACTGCTTATAGGTTAGATGAAAAATGCAATTCTTATAAAAGTTTATTATAATTTTTTAAATGACATACAGCAAATTTTTAGAAATTGTTTCAACCATGTCATAAAATGCTTGGTTCATGATTTTATAGGGTGTGTCAAAAGTAGGTTTACTTACAGTTGTGAGTACATAAAACAGTTAATTCTTGTATTATTTTCCATATGAACAACTGTAAACCTACTCTGTACTAGCTAAGGAACAGTAGATTCTTTAAAAATAAAATGTATTATCTGGCATGCAGCTGGCTCTATGGCCATTTATGTGTTTTTATGAAAAGAAATAATGCAAGACTTTCTAAGGTGGCCTCTTTCACACTCCAAGCTTTACTCTTTGAAAAATGCTTTAATGCTTTCCTTTTATTATCATGAATCCTACATATATTTTATTAAAATTACAGAACTTGGGAACATGGGCAATCTGAGATCATCATAAAACATGATATACAATGTCATCTGGTCTAAAACAGTTCATGATATAAAGCTTCTCCCAGATGTCCTGTAGATTGCTCTAAAGATAGTCTAAATGGTCTAAATGTCTTCATTGTCTTTTTTCAATGGCATTCAAACAATTGTGTTTATTAACACTCAATTGGATGAATGACTTTGTAGTAGGTATTTGGGGATACTATTGTTATAAACGGAGACTTCACATTATATTGTAAGGCCTTTAAGGTTTTTATAATCTATTATCAGACACTGCTAGGAAGATTATAGTATATATAACTTTACTTGGTATACAAGGTGCTAGAACATGTTCCATTTCTTTAGTGTGTGTAATGTAATGGGAATAAGAGACCAGAAACTATAGATAATGACCTGTTGAGTAGAGATTGCTGGAGTCTGTTTTGAAAACAAATTTGTGAGAAAGATGGTTTCTGCTTGGGAAAAATGGCAAGTGTGTAGCTTGAGCCAAGAGGATGGCTGGCAGTTGCCTGAACATGGAGCCATTGAATATAGAATCTGAAAGTATGAACTGATGTTTAAAAAACCACTATATGCAGAGGTATGAATAAAGCTATATTTCAGGAGAGTGTTCTTTGTAGCTGTGATTAAGATAAATTAGATGAGAAAGAGGCTATGGGAAAGAAGGCTGGTAAGACCTGGACTTGGGATATAGCTAAAAAATTAGATTAAAATTTTCAGATGACTCTCAGGGGGTCATGTGACTCCATTCAACTTAGCATCCAAATGCTGCATTTAAAAATCCTTAGGGAAAAGATATCCAAACATTTCGCCTGTTGTCATAGATACTTCAAGACTGAAAGAAAAAAAATATTTCAAGGGAACACGAGATGGCAGCAGTTATATCATCTAAAGAGAAAGAATAAGAAAAAAACATTTGAAATTATTTTTAAAATAAAATATATGTAGTGCTTTATTTTGTGTGTGCTATATTTCTTTTCAGTACAGAGATTACTCAGTCATTGGCTTCATGCTTCACAGCACATCTGAGGTTCATCCTGACTGTAGTAAAAACCCTACTCCATTACATGTGATTATTTCCTAAAATAAAGCTGTTGCTGTTTTCTGCAGATTACTGTTCTGTGTTATCTGAGGCAGAAGAGTTCTGGATGTTGCAAATTCGTTTTAAATGTTCCAGCTTTGCTTTTTCTTCCTCTTCTAGTCTTTCATCCTTCCTCATTTCCCACCTGAAAGAAAAATCACATCTTAGTATTTTTGTAACTTCCAAACTACAGTCAACACTCAGTTATTCAAGACTTGAATATGTATATTCACTGGTTTATTGAGGCATCTGTTTCTCCTTGTTTGTTTTTTTACCGACTACTTCTTGGGCAACACAATTCATTGGCACTGTTTCTGTAGAGTGGGCCAGGAGAATGGGAGACAAAAATAGTCAAACCAGCTCTACTCCAGGGTAAAGTTTTAAAGTATTGTTTTAAATGAGGTTTCTGTATTTCTAGGTTTAAAAAAAAGTATATGGATTACCAAGATATACACACATGTAAATAAAATCTAGAATTAGAAATCAATAAGCAAATATTGTTCATAGTATTTTTTACTCACTGACCACCTTATCAGTGGATTTAAACTTCGGAGAGGTTTACCAGGAAGACTTTAGTAGCAAGAAGAATATCAAGCTAAACTGAATATCCCTTAAAGATGGGTCAGTCTATTCCTAGAAATAAGATCAAATTTGAAGTAATCAAGTTAAATAACCCAAGGAAAGCAGCAAATTATTAGCAAGATTCCACAGAGCATTTGCTGAAAGGAAAGAAAGAAAGAAAGAAAGAAAGAAAGAAAGAAAGAAAGAAAGAAAGAAAGAAAGGAAGGAAGGAAGGAAGGAAGAAATTACAGGCTTTCTAATTCTGTGTGATTGGGTAATATAGGACAAGGTGTTAAGAATATAGAACTAAGTATGTATATGCTTATATAATCTTGCAAAGTAAATATTATCACAATAACCCAAATATGATTAATCCATCCTTCCCCTCCTTCTTCTCTCATACACGCCACCTCCCAGGACAGGTCAGGGCATACTTAACCCAGCACTCCAATAAGGAATTATCTGCATATACTTCCCTTCTCTTTTCATCCTAGTTCTGCCTAAACCATCCACCATGATATGCTGTCACAGAGGGATTTTAAAACCAATGTTGATACATACTAAAAGACTTGCTACTACAAGGTCTCCAAGGGGATAGGATTTCATTTTTTATTATTTTAAAAAGATTTTATTTATTTATTTTAAGAGAGAAGGAATGGGAGGCAGAAAGAGAGGGAGAGAAACATTGGATGCTTCTCACATGCCCCCAGCCAAGGACCTGGCCTGCAACCTAGACATGTGTCCTGACCAGGAATTGAACTGTCAACCTTTCAGTTCACAAGCTGGCACTCAATTCACTGAGCCACACCAACCAGGGCTCATTTTTTAAATTAAAATTATTGTAGTGACATTGGTCGATAACATTATGTAACTTTCCAGTATACAATTCTATAAGACATCATCTGTATATTGATTGCATTGTGTGCTCCCCACCTATTGTCTCGCCTCCCTCTGTCACCATATATTTGACCCCCTTCACCCTCTTTATCCTCCCCTTGCCTCCCTCTTCCCCTCCGGTAAACTTCATGCATTTTTCTGTATCTGTGAGTTTATTTGTTTGTTTATTTGTTGCTTTCTGTTTTATATCCCACATATAAGTGAAATCATATGGTTCCTGTCCTTTTTCAGCTGATCTATTTCAGTTAGTGTGATACTCTCAAGATCCACCCATGTTGTCACAAATGGCAGTTTTTCATCCTTTCTCATGGCTGAGTTGTCTTCCATAGTATATATGTTCCACATTTTCTTTATACAGCCTTCCATCAAAAGGACACTTTGGTTGTTTCCATGTCTCAGCTACCATAAATAATGCTGCATTGAACATAAGAGCAAACATAGCTTTACAAAGAAATGTTTTTAAAATTTTCAGGTAGATACCCAAAAGGTGGATTGCTGAGTCATATGGTAGCTCTAGTCTTTATTTTTTGAGGAAACTCCATACTGTTTTCCATAGTGGCTATACCAGTTTACATCCCTGTAAGCAGTGTATAAGGGTTCCTTTTTCTCCACATCCTCTCCAACACTTGTTATTTCTTGTCTTTTTGATAACAGGCATTCTAACAAGGGTGAGGTGGTAGCTCATTGTGGTTTTGATTTGCATTTCCTGTAAAGCTAGTGAAGTTGAGAATCTTTTCATATATCTAATGGTCATTTGTATGTCTGTTGAGATCCTCTGCCAATTTTTAATAGCATATTTTGTTATTTTTGTTTTGTTGAGATATATGAGTTCTTTATATGATTTGGATATCAGTATGTTCCCTTACGGGAGGTATCATTAGCAAATATCTTCTTTCATTTAGTTGGTTGCCTTTTTGTTTTGTTGAAAGTTTCTTTTGCTGGGCAGAAGCTTTTTAGTTTGATGTAGTCCCATTCATTTATTTTTGTTTCTACTTCCCTTGTCTTTGGGGTCAAGTTTACAAAAGCCTCTTTGAGACCAAGTCCCATACTTTAGTATCTTTGTTTTCATACATGGTAGTCTAGTTTCATTCTTTTGCATGTGGTGTTTCAGTTTTCCCAACACAATTTATTGAAGAGGCTTTGCTTTCTCCATTGTATGTTTTTGGCTCCTTTGTCTAAAATGAGTTGCCCACATACATATGGGTTTATTTCTGGGTTCTCAATTCTATTTTTCCATCTGTGTGCCTATTTTTCTGCAAACACCATAATGTTTCCATTACTGTAGCTTTGCAGTATAACTTGAAGTCAGGATGTGAGATACCTGTTTCCCCCCAATCCTCCAGAGGTCTTTTTTGGTTCCATACAAATTTGAGGATTTTTTATTCTATTTCTTTGAAAAGCACCATTGGAATTTTGATGGGGATTGTGTTAAACCTGTATATTGCTTTAGGTTATACGGCCATTTTAACCATGTTGATTCTTCCAATCCATGAGCATGGAATATCTTCACATTTCCTTATGTTTTCTTCAATTTCTTTCAACAATGTCTTATAGTTTCAATGTACATAGGTCCTTCATTTCCTTTAAGTTTATTTGTATGTATTTTATTCTTTATATTGCAATTGGAAAGGAATTGTTTTCTTCATTTTTTCCCTAATATTTTATTGTTAATATTTAGGAATGCATTTTTGTACATTGATTTTTGTATCCTGCAACTTTACTGTATTTGTTTATTGTTTTTAATAGGTTTTTTGGGGTTTTTTTGGTGTAGTCTTTAGGGTTTATATATAGAATCATGAAGGGATAGTATTTCTAACAACAAACAAGCAGCTATTCAATGAATGTCTTCCAGAAACTCCCTATTTTACGATAGTTAGAACGTCTGGGTAACAGAGAGCCTGTCATACATGAGCAAAACATTTCAAGTTTGTGTATGTGTGTGTGGGGGAGGGGGTCTGGTTTGGTTTGAGTGATAAAAAGAAAGCATAGGCATTGCATTTCCATAGAAAACTCCTAGTGGGATCCCTGTTCCCGCACAGGTTTCCTTGTTGAAGGGCTAGGTCCAATAAGCCCTGGCTAACCCTGGGCGGTGAGATATACAAGAGAAAAGAAAAAAAGGAAAGAGCAGATAAAAAGGGGGGATTATCTGAGAGTCTAGACCTGGGTTTAATTTACATTTCTTCTTCATCCTCTGCCTGGAATTCTCCTCATCTCCTAGCACCAACCTTGGCTGAATCTAAAAACTGCTATTTCTAGCCCTGTTAGTTTTTCCATATGTTCCCATATGGTCAGAGTTAAGTAATTGGTCATACTAGTTTTAACAACTTGAAGGGTAGAGATTTTTCACCACTGTACTGTTCAAAGCCTTGTTACAAGAGGGAGTACTCCTGAAATCCATATTTTGGGATTTAAAATTTAACCCACAAGGTTTCCTAATACTACTTTCAGGGAATTCTGAAGAATTGTCCCTACCCATTTTATATAGGTGAACTTGGGCATCATTAATTAGCATGTTAACTTGAACTCCTTCCAAGAAGGAAAATAAATAATGAAAGATACTTATATAGCACTATGTGTGAGGGCATTGTTTCAAACACTTGACACATCACTCTTTAAATCTTTACTACAAAATGTGATTATTCCTATTCTATGAAGGAGTAAACTGAAGCACAGAATGTTAATGTCACTTGCCTAGGTATCTTTGAGTTGAAGTAAGGGAGTCAGACTCTGCAGTCTGGGCATGTAAATGCAACACTAGCCATGGTTTTAAAATCATTTTACAGGTATCATTAGTTACTGTTAAAAATAGTTTAAATATTTCATTTCCTCAAAAAAAAAATACAGCATGAATTAGGCTAGGTAATTTAAAAGAGAACTTTCTAAAATTTAAATGCTTTTTTTAAAAAGTTGATTTTTAGAGAGAGAGGAAAGGAGATGGGGGGTGGAGAGAGAGAAACAACAATTTGCTGTTCCACTTATATATGCATTCATTGGTTGATTCTTATATGTGCCCTAGCCAGGGATCGAACCCGCCACCTTGGTATATTTGGACAATGCTCTTAACGAGATGAGCTACCTGGCCATGGCTAAAATTCATATTCTCTTAAAGAAATCCAAGCATGATAAATCAGGTTTGCCATTTTCTCCTATAAAGGTACTAATATTGTATTGAGTAAATGAATTATCTTCTGAATGTCAACAAAATATTTTGATCATTGTTTCCATGTGTGAAAATTGAAAACACAAGCTCTCTTCTCCACTAAAAAAATCTGTATAATTAATGTAATTTAAATGAATTGTATGCATAATAGAATCTAAGAAAAGGATTTTTGAAGCTTCATGACAATTATAGGCACTTCATAGTATAATTAAGCTGTTAGCAATTAATGATATTAGACAAAGTTACTTACCTACCATAAAATTCTTACATTTTCTTTGTGCTTATTAAGAAAAAAATCATTTCATAAGAGAATAAGAAATTATAACAAAGATAGGAGAAACTAGCTATTAAAACTACATTTACTCTAATACTTTACTTTTAGTGACTAGAAGTCTTAAGGACTTGAAGTGTATGATTACCACAAGCATCATTATTTTTCACACCTCTAAATTCTTAATTCCATTTCTAATCCCATTGTCATGTTAGACTTTGTTAACCCAGTTCAAAAACAATTATATCAAAAACTG